TTTTTTTAAGGGTTTTTGCTAATTCATTCATAGTAATTGGACCTTCTAAACTTACTGACTCAAGGGGGGATAACTTTGGCACAATATATGTTCTTAAAAGTTCATTGAGATCAACATCCTGAAGTAACTGATTTTTCTTATATAAGTTTTCATAGTAGTTTTTAGTTTCTTTTAAGATTTCTGTTTGATCTAAAATTACAGTCCCATCCTCCATAGTTATATTAGGAATTATCTTACTAGTAAAGTTACGTGATTCTAGCCCACAGAAGTATTTTGTTGGTTTTTCACCTTCACTTATCCACTTGGCCCTTGACCGTATCATATTACCTGCTATCTTATGTTTTCTAATTTCTTCTAATTCTTTTTTCTTTTCATCTATGTTATTTAAATCTGTATTATTAGGAACTGTTTCTAAGTTTTTAATTTGATTTATGAGATCCTTTTCTCTTTCATTAGATTTTTTTTTCACATAGCTAGAGTATGAAATGGTTTTACCCCTTATTTCCATCATGAGAGTTTCCAAGAATAATTGATCATTTACAGTAAAGGTTATTTCATTTAAAGGAATTGCATTTAAATTATTTATGTTGTATACTGGTAAAGAGTATTGTTGTTTTATAATGTCTATAGTAGATTTGATGAGAGTTACATATTCTAAATCAAACAATAAAGAGTTATTAAATTTCCATAATCCCCTACCTTTTTGAAAGTTGTGAAAAGCTAAGTGTATGACAGAAATAGAGTGATCAGATCGGTAACTTGGTTCAATTACAGAAGATGTTAGACTTGGTAGTAAACTGTCAGATATTAATATGTAGTCTAACCGTGCTTGTTTAAGAGGAGTTTTCTTACGCCATGTATATCTTTTAATATTGGGGTTAAGTTCTCTGAAAGTATCTATAATTCCAAACTCGTCTTTGAACTCTATAACTTTATTTCTTGCATTTGGATTATTTATATGTTTGTAATTATCACAATCTAATTTCGGATCCATAGTAATATTAAAATCTCCACATAATATATATTTATTATTACCCAATTCTTCTATAATATTCATTAACTCCTCGAAAAATACTGGTTGGTCAGTGTTAGGTCCATATAGTGTTATCAAAGTAAGTTTCTCTCCCTGTATTTGAATATCAAGTGCTAGCATATTACCGTTAAAATCCTTTCTTACCTGTAAGACTTTATACTCGAAATTATTGTTAAAAAGTATTGCAGTTCCTCTAGAGTTAGAGTTAAAAGAGTTAAAAATACAGTCAAATCCCCAATTCGAACGAATAATTTTTTCCTTGTCGGCTGTAAAGTGAGTATCCTGTAGACAGTAAATATTGTACCTTTTCGCTTTTAAATAGGAAAACACATCTTTTTGTTTAACTAGATCCCCAAGACCCTGGCAGTTGGCAGATAGAATCGTTATGCTATCGACGACAGACGCAGCGCATGGTATAATAGTAATGACCTAGGCTTGCAGTACATATAAACACGAGGGGTAGTATACTCACACAAAACAAATATATACACAAAAGCGATAGTAGAGGTCCAAAAGTAGCAGGATGAAATCGAAACCCACCGTGTTTACACATGGCACACAACACTTTCCAGCTTCCTGTTAAGCGTCACAAAGATAAAGATTTTTGACGTGCGTTCGATACACATAACTGGGATATATTTAGAAATATAATACAAGTAACACATATTCAAAAGTAATAAGTTGATATCTTGACTTAAATCTAATAAATAGTTAATTGTGAACCATGTGTAAACACAATATCTACAAGTCATGAATATCATCATTCTTTTATAATAATACACAATAGGATATCGTTTTTGTTCAACATAGTCTTACATTACTTATGGGTAAACATCATGGAATTATACAATATCTGTTTGAGTAGAGGATAGTGTTGCGCTCAGGACTGGCTATATGTTTGGGTAGAATGTCTTACTCTATGTTTTTGTAAAAGTGGTAGGGTTATTTTGTTTTAACGAAAACCTTCCACGTCCAGCGAAAGGATTATCAGATAAAAAGGTAAATTATTTACTTGTCAACTGTTTTGTTTAATTCTTCAATCCAGCTTAGTGCTAAACTGGAATTAAGCTCGCCCTATTCGTGGTAAGTGACATGTTTTTGTTTGTATTTGTGTAGATGAAAGTTGGTATATTCACGCAGCTGGTGTTGGAGCATATTGTTAAACATTTTATTTAAAATATATCTGATTGGTTTATACATATAACAGTGAACCTGATCTGTCCTTAAAATGATATCCAAGGACATTAAAAAGAGTGGGAATACTAATCCAGGCGTTGACGAGCCTTCAAACGGGCCTTCAAACTAAGAGCTCCGCTGTAAACCCTCCGAATATTTCCTATCAAAATTGAATGGTATGTACAATTTTCCATATTGTATTTGATACATACTTTATAAAACTATTACAATGACGAGACGATGATACTTTACCGTTATAACCCATCTCACAATTAACAAAGATTTCTACAGCAATATTGGAGTTGATCACTTTATCATCAAGCCTTAAGAATGTCGTAGAACATGACTTAGAAAACTAATATAT